ATCTGGGGACACACCTGGGGACACACCTGGGACACACCTGGGACACACCTGGGACACACCTGGGGACACACCTGGGACACACCTGGGGGACAGGACATGGGGACACACCTGGGACACACCTGGGGACACACCTGGGACACACCTGGGGATACAGGACATGGGGACACACCTGGGGACACACCTGGGACACACCTGGGGGGGACAGGACATGGGGGCACCTGGGGGGCACCTGGGGGGCACCTGGAACACACCTGGGGGGCACCTGGGGGGCACCTGGGGGGCACCTGGGGGATGAGGGGCCGGGGGGCAAGGGCAGTCAAATTTGGGGATCCCAGAGGGTGTTTTTAGGGTCGGGGGCTTGGGGTTGGGGGCCGTTAATGGGGTTTTTGGGGTCTGTTCAAGCGTTTTGGGATCTGGGGTGAGTTTTAATGGGGTTTGGGTTGGGGGTTTTTTGGGGTCCCTAGGGGCTGTTAATGGGGTTTTGGGTTGGGGGTTGTTAATGGGGTTTTGGGGTCTGTTCAAGCGTTTTTGGGATCTGGGGTGGGTTTTAATGGGGTTTTTGGGTTGGGGGCTGTTAATGGGGTTTTTGGGGTCTGGGGGGCTGTTAATGGGGTTTTGGGTCTGGGAGGGGCTGTTAATGGGGTTTTGGGTTGGGGGCCGTTAATGGGGTTTTTGGGGTCTGTTCAAGCATTTTTGGGATCTGGGGTGAGTTTTAATGGGGGTTTGGGTTGGGGGGGTTTTTTGGGGTCCCTGGGGGCTGTTAATGGGGTTTTGGGTTGGGGGGGTTGTTAATGGGGTTTTTGGGGTCTGTTCAAGCGTTTTTGGGATCTGGGGGGGGTTTTAATGGGGTTTGGGGTCTGGTGGGGGCTGTTAATGGGGTTTTTGGGATCTGGGGTGGGTTTTAATGGGGTTTTGGGTTGGGGGGGCTGTTAATGGGGTTTTTGGGGTCTGTTCAGGTATTTTTGGGATCTGGGGGGGCTGTTAATGGGGTTTTGGGTTGGGGGGGGCTGTTTTGGGGTCCCTGGGGGTTGTTAATGGGGTTTTGGGGTCTTTTCAAGCATTTTTGGGGATCTGGGGGGTGGGTTTTAATGGGGTTTTGGGTTGGGGGGGCTGTTAATGAGGTTTTGGGGTCTGTTCAAGCATTTTGGGGTCTGGGGGAGCTGTTAATGGGGTTTTGGGTTGGGGGGCTGTTAATGGGGTTTTTGGGGTCTGTTCAAGCGTTTTTGGGATCAGGGGTGGGTTTTAATGAGGTTTTTGGGGTCTGGGGGTCTGTTAATGGGGTTTTGGGTCTGGGGGGGTTGTTAATGGGTTTTTGGATTGGGGGGGGCTGTTAATGGGGTTTTTGGGGTCTGTTCAAGCGTTTTTGGGATCTGGGGGGGGTTTTAATGGGGTTTTGGCTCAGGGGGGGCTGTTTTGGGTTGGAGGGGGCTGTTAATGGGGTTTTGGGGTCTGTTCAAGCATTTTTGGGGTCTGGGGGGGTTGTTAATGGGGTTTTGGCTGAGGGGGGGCTGTTAATGGGGTTTTGGGATCTGGAGGGGCTGTTAATGGGGTTTGGGGTCTGGGGGGTTGTTAATGGGGTTTGGGCTCAGGGGGCTGTTAATGGGGTTTTGGGATCTGGAGGGGCTGTTAATGGGGTTTGGGGTCTGGGGGTTGTTAATGGGGTTTGGGCTCAGGGGGCTGTTAATGGGGTTTTGGGGTCTTTTCAAGCATTTTTGGGGATCTGGGGTGGGTTTTAATGGGGTTTTGGGATCTGGGGTGGGTTTTAATGGGGTTTGGGTTGGGGGAAGTTTTGGGGTCCCTTAGGGCTGTTAATGGGGTTTGGGGTCTGGGGGGTTGTTAATGGGGTTTGGGGTCTGGGGGGGGCTGTTAATGGGGTTTTGGGGGTCTGTTCAAGCGTTTTTGGGATCTGGGGTGGGTTTTAATGGGGTTTTTGGGTTGGGGGGGGCTGTTAATGGGATTTTGGGTTGGGGGGGTTGTTAATGGGTTTTTGGGGTCTGTTCAAGCATTTTTGGGGATCTGGGGTGTGTTTTAATGGGGTTTTGGGCTCAGGGGTGTGTTTTAATGGGGTTTTTGGGTTGTGGGGGCTGCTCATGGGGTCTGTACCCTCCTCTCTGCCCCCCTTTTCCAGGAGCCCAACCCCGAGGACCCCCTGAACAAGGAGGCTGCCGAGGTCCTGCAGAGCAACCGGCGCCTCTTCGAGCAGAACGTGCAGCGCTCGCTCCGGGGGGGCTACGTGGGGGCCACCTACTTCGAGCGCTGCCTCAAATAAACCCCTCCCCACCCCAAAAAAATCCCCTCAAAAACACCCCCGGGACCCCCACCCTGCCCCCAAAATCCCCCAAAATCCCTGACCCCACAGAGCCCCCACCGCCTCCGGGGGCTACGTGGGGGCCACTCTACTCGAGCGCTGCCTCAAATAAACCCCTCCCCACCCCAAAAATCCCCCAAAAACACCCCTGGGACCCCCAAAACCCCAAAATCCCCCAAAATCCCTGACCCCCTGGACCCCACAGAGCTCCCCCCACCCCAAAAACCCCGCTCAGGGGGCTACGTGGGGGTCACTGTGATTTTGAATAATCCCCTCCCACCCCAAAAAATCCCCTCCAAAACACCCCGGGACCCCCCAAAACCCCCAAATCCCCCCAAAATCCCTGACCCCACAGAGCCCCCCACCCCAAAAACCCCGCTCAGGGGGCTACGTGGGGTCACGGACTTTGAGTGCTGCCTCAAATAAACCCCTCCCCACCCCAAAAAATCCCCCAAAAACACCCCAGGACCCCCAAAACCCCCAAAATCCCCCAAAATCCCTGACCCCACAGAGCCCCCCACCCCAAAAACCCCGCTCCGGGGGCTACGTGGGGGTCACGGACTTTGAATAATCCCCTCCCCACACACCTCAAAAAATCCCCCAAAAACACCCCAGGACCCCCAAAATCCCCCAAAATCCCTGACCCCACAGAGCCCCCTCACCCCAAAAACCCCGCTCAGGGGGGCTACGTGGGGGCCACCTACTTCGAGCGCTGCCTCAAATAAACCCCTCCCCACCCCAAAAAAATGCCCCCAAAACACCCCTGGGACCCCAAAATCCCCCAAAATCCCTGACCCCACAGAGCCCCCCACCCCAAAAACCCCGCTCAGGGGGGCTACGTGGGAGTCACGGACTTGAGCGGTGCCTCAAATAATCCCCCTCCCACCCCAAAAAATCCCCCCAAAAACACCCCAGGACCCCCCAAAATCCCCCAAAATCCCTGACCCCACAGAGCCTCCCCACCCCAAAAACCCCGCTCAGGGGGCTACGTGGGGGTCACGGACTTTGAATAACCCCCTCCCCACCCCAAAAAATCCCCCAAAACACCCCAGGACCCCCAAAATCCCCCAAAATCCCTGACCCCACAGAGCCCCCCCCAAAAACCCCGCTCAGGGGGCTACGTGGGAGGTCACGGACTTTGAATAATCCCCCTCCCACCCCAAAAAATCCCCCCAAAAACACCCCAGGACCCCCCAAAATCCCTGACCCCACAGAGCCCCCCCAAAAACCCCGCTCAGGGGGGCTACGTGGGGGTCACGGACTTTGAGTGGTGCCTCAAATAAACCCCCTCCCCACCCCAAAAAATCCCCCAAAAACACCCCTGGGACCCCCAAAAACCCCCCAAAATTCCCTGACCCCACAGAGCCCCCCCACCCCAAAAACCCCGCTCAGGGGGCTACGTGGGAGCCACAGACTTTGAATAATCCCCCCACCCCAAAAAATCCCCCAAAAACACCCCAGGACCCCCAAAACCCCCAAAATCCCCCAAAATCTCTGACCCCACAGAGCCCCCCCAATCCCAAAATACCCCCAGGACCCCCCCCAAATTCTCCCCAGGACCTCCTGGGATGGGACCCCCACCCGGGGACCCCCAAAATTCCCACCCCACCCCCGGACCCCCTCCCTGTGGGACCCCGGGACCCCAAAATCCCCTGGGGACCCCCAAAATCCCCTGGGGACCCCCAGGACCTTCTGGGACCCCCAAAATCCCCAGGACCTCCTGGGGACCCCCAGGACCCCCAAAACCCCCCTGGGGACCCCCGAGGACCCCCAAAATCCCCCTGGGGACCCCCCAGGACCTCCTGGGGACCCCCAAAATTCCCCTGGGGACCCCCCAGGACCTCCTGGGACCCCCCATGACCCCCAAAATCCCCCTGGGGACCCCCCAGGACCTTCTGGGGACTCCCCAGGACCCCAAAAATCCCCTGGGCCCCCAGGACCCCAAAATTCCCCTATTTATTCCCCCCGGGGGTGGGGGGGGCTCCCAGTCCTGGCTCGAGCGGAGATTAAAAGAGCGAAGGGAACGAGGGCACTGGTTATACTGGTTTATACTGGTTTGTACTGGTTTATACTGGTTTATGTGTGTGGGGGGTGGTTATACTGGGGGTAGCGGGTTGTACTGGGTTATACTGGTTTATACTGGTTTATATGGGGGGTTGTGCTGGTTATACTGGGGGTAGCGGGTTGTACTGGTTTATACTGGTTTATACTGGTTTATGTGGGGGGAGGGTGGTTATACTGGGGGTAGCGGGTTGTACTGGTTTATACTGGTTTATACTGGTTTATATGGGGGGGGTCATACTGGGTTGTGCTGGTTGTACTGGGGGTAGCGGGTTGTACTGGGTTACACTGGTTTATACTGGGAGGGGCCCAGTGTGCGTTCCTGGTTATAGTGGGGTGTTACTGGTTATACTGGGCTGGGGGTGTTACTGGTTATACTGGTATGGGGGTGTTACTGGTTATACTGGGCTGGGGGTGTTACTGGTTATACTGGCATGGGGGTGGTGTTACTGGTTATACTGGTATGGAGGTGCCGAGTTCCTGGTCTCGTAGTTCCCAGTCTGCCCAGTGGAATCTCACAGTTCCCAGTCTGCCCAGTGGCACCAGTTCCCCGCTCCAGTACGGCGAGTTCCCAATCCCACCGCTCCCAGTTCCCCCAGTTCCCCCAGTTGCCGATCGCGATTCCCCCGAGCCGCCAGGGGTCGCTTCTGTCTCTGCCCCCGACCCGGAAGTGCCGCTCTGGCCTCTCCTCTATGGCCCTCCCCCGTCACGTGACCGCGCATCGGTGACGTCACTGTTTGCGGAAGTGCCGGTAAAGGGGCCGGGGCGATTTTGGGGCGATTTTGGGGCGTTTTGGGGGCGTTTTGGGGGGCATTTCTGGGCCGACTTCGGGGCAGTTTTGGGGGCATTTTTGGGCCGATTTCGGGGCGGTTTTGGGACGATCTTGGGCCGATTTCGGGGCAGTTTTGGGGGGCATTTTCGGGCCGATTTCGGGGCGTTTTGGGGCCGATTTCGGGGCGTTTTTGAGGGGCATTTTCGGGCCGATTTCGGGCCGGTTTTGGGGCGTTTTGGGGGCATTTTTGGGCCGATTTCATGCCGATTTCTGGGGCGTTTTGGGGGGCATTTTCGGGCCGATTTCGGGGCGGTTTTGGGACGATCTTGGGCCGATTTCGGGGCGGTTTTGGGGGGCATTTTTGGGCCGATTTCGGGGCGTTTTTGAGGGGCATTTTCGGGCCGATTTCGGGGCGGTTTTTGGGCCCATTTCGAGGCAGTTTTTGGGCCGATTTCGGGCCGGTTTCTGGGCGGTTTTGCTGGGGGCATTTTTGGGCCGATTTCGGGGCGTTTTGGGGCCGATTTCGGGGCGGTTTTTGGGGGGCATTTTTGGACCGATTTCGTGCCCATTTCGTGCCCATTTCGGGGCTTTTTGAGGGGCATTTTTGGGCCGATTTCGGGCCCATTTGGGGCCGATTTCAGGGCGGTTTTGGGTCGATTTCGGGCCGATTTCGTGCCCATTTCGGCTCGGTTTTTGAGGGGACGCATTTTTCGGTCCGATTTCAGAGCCGAACCTCTCGAATCTGGGGGTGGTGGTGGCGATGAATTCGAAGGGCACTTCAAGAGACCCCTGAGTTCCTTTGGGGTCCCTCACGGAACAATTTGGGGTCCCTCACGGCACCATTTGGGTCGCGCCTTTCCAGGCGGGATTTTTTCCAGGTTGGGGAGGAGATTTCAGAGCGGGGTTTTCACCTCCCCACCCCTCCCAGGTGCTCCCCCCACCCCTCCCCTGGCCATGGAGCTGCTGTTCGGGCGCCGCAAGACGCCGGAGGAGCTGCTGCGGCAGAACCAGCGGGCGCTGGCCCGCGCCGTGCGCGAGCTCGACCGCGAGCGCCTCAAACTCGAGGCCCAGGAGAAGAAAATCATCGCCGACATCAAGAAGATGGCCAAGCAGGGCCAGATGGTGAGGATGGGGGGGACATGAGGGAAGGGGGCTGAGGGACGTCCCCAATGACCCTGACACCCCCCTGTCCCCCCAGGACGCCGTCAGGGTGATGGCCAAGGACCTGGTGCGGACCCGGCGCTACGTCCGCAAGTTCATCACCATGAGGGCCAACGTCCAGGCCGTGGCCCTCAAGATCCAGACCCTCAAATCCAACAGCTCCATGGCCACGGCCATGAGAGGCGTCACCAAGGCCATGGCCACCATGAACAGACAGGTGAGGGGTCAGCAATGGTCACCAAGGGTCACCAAGGCCATGGCCACCATGAACAGACAGGTGAGGGGTCATTGGGGGTCACCTGGGGTCATTGGGGGTCAGCAATGGTCATCAGGGGTCACCAAGGCCATGGCCACCATGAACAGACAGGTGAGGGGTCAGCAATGGTCACCTGGGGTCATCGGGGGTCATCAGGGGTCATCAGGGGTCATCAGGGGTCACCAAGGCCATGGCCACCATGAACAGACAGGTGAGGGGACACCTGGGGTCATCAGGGGTCATCAGGGGTCATCAGGGGTCATGGCCACCATGAACAGACAGGTGGGGTCATCGGGGGTCATCAGGGGTCATCAGGGGTCAGCAATGGTCACCAAGGGTCACCAAGGCCATGGCCACCATGAACAGACAGGTGGGGTCATTGGGGGGTCATTGGGGGTCACCAAGGGTCACCAAGGGTCATCAATGGTCACCAAGGCCATGGCCACCATGAACAGACAGGTGGGGACACTTCTGGGGTCGTCAGGGGTCACCTGGGGTCAGCAATGGTCACCAAGGGTCACCAAGGGTCATCGGGGGTCATCAAGGGTCAGCAATGGTCACCAAGGCCATGGCCACCATGAACAGACAGGTGGGGACACTTCTGGGGTCAGCAATGGTCACCAAGGGTCACCAAGGGTCATCGGGGGTCCCCAAGGGTCACCAATGGTCACCAAGGGTCACCAAGGCCATGGCCACCATGAACAGACAGGTGGGGGTCATTGGGGGTCAGCAATGGTCACCAAGGGTCATCAGGGGTCATCGGGGGTCATGGCCACCATGAACAGACAGGTGAGGGGACACCTGGGGGCACCTGGGGTCATCAGGGGTCACCAAGGGTCAGCAATGGTCACCAAGGCCATGGCCACCATGAACAGACAGGTGGGGTCATCGGGGGTCATTGGGGGTCATCAGGGGTCATCAGGGGTCATCAGGGGTCACCAAGGCCATGGCCACCATGAACAGACAGGTGGGGGGCACCTGGGGACACCTGGGGTCATCAGGGGTCATTGGGGGTCACCAAGGCCATGGCCACCATGAACAGACAGGTGGGGGTCATTGGGGGTCACCTGGGGTCACCTGGGGGCACCTGGGGACAGCAATGGTCATCGGGGGTCAGCAATGGTCACCAAGGGTCACCAAGGCCATGGCCACCATGAACAGACAGGTGGGGTCATCGGGGGTCACCTGGGGTCATCAGGGGTCATTGGGGGTCACCAAGGCCATGGCCACCATGAACAGACAGGTGGGGGTCATTGGGGGTCACCTGGGGTCACCTGGGGGCACCTGGGGACAGCAATGGTCATCGGGGGTCAGCAATGGTCACCAAGGGTCACCAAGGCCATGGCCACCATGAACAGACAGGTGGGGTCATCGGGGGTCATCAGGGGTCATTGGGGGTCACCAAGGCCATGGCCACCATGAACAGACAGGTGAGGGGTCAGCAATGGTCACCAAGGGTCACCAAGGCCATGGCCACCATGAACAGACAGGTGAGGGGTCAGCAATGGTCACCAAGGGTCACCAAGGCCATGGCCACCATGAACAGACAGGTGAGGGGTCAGCAATGGTCACCTGGGGACACTTCTGGGGTCATCGGGGGTCATCAGGGGTCACCAAGGCCATGGCCACCATGAACAGACAGGTGGGGTCACCTGGGGTCATCGGGGGTCATCAAGGGTCAGCAGGGGTCACCAAGGCCATGGCCACCATGAACAGACAGGTGAGGGGTCAGCAATGGTCACCAAGGGTCACCAAGGGTCACCAAGGGTCAGCAATGGTCACCAAGGCCATGGCCACCATGAACAGACAGGTGGGGGCACCTGGGGACATCAGGGGTCATCAGGGGTCAGCAATGGTCACCAAGGCCATGGCCACCATGAACAGACAGGTGGGGTTCACCTGGGGACACCTGGGGTCATCAGGGGTCACCAAGGCCATGGCCACCTGATGTCCCTGGTGTCCCCCCCAGCTGAAGCTGCCCCAGATCCAGAAGATCATGCTGGAGTTCGAGCGCCAGGCCGAGCTGATGGACATGAAGGAGGAGCTGATGAACGACGCCATCGACGACGCCCTCGGGGACGAGGACGACGAGGAGGAGAGGTGGGGACACCCTGGGGACACCCTGGGGACACCCTGGGGACAGAGGGGACACCCTGGGGACACCCTGGGGACACCCTGGGACAGCCAGGGGACACCCAGGGGACACCCAGGGACACCCAGGGACAGAGGGGACACCCCAGGGACACCCAGGGACACCCCAGGGACACCCAGGGGACACCCAGGGGACACCCCAGGGACATCCAGGGGACACCCAGGGACACCCTGGGGACAGAGGGGACACCCAGGGACACCCAGGGACAGAGGGGACACCCAGGGGACAGCCAGGGACACCCCAGGGACACCCCAGGGACATCCAGGGGACAGCCAGGGACACCCAGGGGACACCCAGGGACACCCTGGGACATCCAGGGACACCCAGGGGACATCCAGGGACATCCAGGGGACACCCCAGGGACACCCAGGGACATCCAGGGACACCCAGGGACACCCCAGGGCAATCTGTGGACACCCAGGGGACACCCAGGGACACCAGGACATGGAGGACACCCAGGGGACACCCTGGGACAGCCAGAGACACCCAGGGACACCCAGGGACATCCAGGGACACCCAGGGGGGTCAGGGGACATCCGGGGACACCCTGGGGACACCCTGGGGACACCCTGGGGACACCCTGGGACACATTTGGGGACAGGAAGGGGGGATGTGGCATTTTGGGACCCTGGGCAGGGGCTGTTGGGGGTCCCAATGTCCCCCTGTCCCATTCCCAATGTCCCAGTGTTCCATTCCCAGTGTCCCATTCCCAGTGTCCCCCTGTCCCATTCCCAATGTCCCAGTGTTCCATTCCCCATTCCCAGTGTCCCAGTTGTCCCAGTTGTCCCAGTGTTCCCAGTATCCCACTTTCCCCCCATGCTTTGCAGCGACGCGGTCGTGTCCCAGTGTCCCATTCTCCCATTCCCAGTTGTCCCAGTGTTCCCAGTGTTCCCAGTATCCCTTTCCCCCCATTCCTTGCAGCCACGCCCGCCGTGTCCCAGTGTCCCAGTGTCCCATTCCCAGTTGTCCCAGTGTTCCCAGTGTCCCATTCCCAGTATCCCATTCCCCGTGTCCATTGCAGCGACGTGGTCGTGTCCCAGTGTCCCATTCCCAATGTTCCCAGTGTCCCAGTTGTCCCAGTGTTCCCAGTGTTCCCAGTATCCCTTTCCCCCGTTCCTTGCAGCGACGCGGTCGTGTCCCAGTGTCCCATTCCCAGTGTCCCATTCCCAGTGTCCCAGTGTCCCATTCCCAGTGTCCCATTCCCAGTGTCCCAGTGTCCCAGTGTCCCATTCCCAGTGTCCCATTCCCAGTGTCCCATTCCCAATGTTCCCATTCCCAGTTGTCCCAGTGTCCCCCTGTCCCATTCCCAGTGTCCCATTCCCAGTTGTCCCAGTTGTCCCAGTATCCCACTTTCCCCCCATGCCTTGCAGCAACGCGGTTGTGTCCCAGTGTCCCATTCCCAGTGTCCCATTCCCAGTGTCCCATTCCCAGTGTCCCAGTGTCCCATTCCCAGTGTCCCATTCCCAGTGTCCCATTCCCAGTGTCCCAGTGTCCCCCTGTCCCATTCCCAGTGTCCCAGTGTCCCATTCCCAGTGTCCCAGTGTCCCAGTGTCCCACTGTCCCCGTGCCATTCCCAGTGTCCCATTCCCAGTGTCCCAGTTGTCCCAGTGTTCCCAGTATCCCTTTCCCCCCGTGCCTTGCAGCGACGCGGTCGTGTCCCAGTGTCCCATTCCCAGTTGTCCCAGTGTCCCCCTGTCCCATTCCCAGTGTTCCCAGTGTCCCAGTTGTCCCAGTTGTCCCAGTGTTCCCAGTATCCCACTTTCCCCCCGTTCCTTGCAGCGACGCGGTCGTGTCCCAGTATCCCATTCCCCCTGTCCCATTCCCAGTGTCCCAGTGTCCCATTCTCAATGTTCCCAGTTGTCCCAGTGTTCCCAGTGTCCCAGTATCCCCCATTCCCATTCCCAGTGTTCCCAGTGTTCCCAGTATCCCTTTCCCCCCGTTCCTTGCAGCGACGCGGTCGTGTCCCAGTGTCCCCCATTCCCAGTGTCCCATTCCCAGTGTCCCATTCCCCATTCCCAGTGTCCCAGTTGTCCCAGTGTTCCCAGTATCCCCCTGTCCCATTCCCAGTGTCCCAGTGTCCCATTCCCCCTGTCCCAGTTGTCCCAGTGTCCCACTGTCCCCGTGCCATTCCCAGTGTCCCATTCCCAGTGTCCCATTCCCAGTGTCCCAGTTGTCCCAGTGTTCCCAGTATCCCTTTCCCCCGTTCCTTGCAGCGACGCGGTCGTGTCCCAGTGTCCCCCTGTCCCATTCCCAGTGTTCCCAGTGTTCCCAGTGTTCCCAGTGTTCCCAGTATCCCACTTTCCCCCCGTTCCTTGCAGCGACGCGGTCGTGTCCCAGTGTCCCATTGTCCCATTCCCAGTGTTCCCAGTGTTCCCAGTGTTCCCAGTATCCCTTTCCCCCCGTTCCTTGCAGCGACGCGGTCGTGTCCCAGTGTCCCCCTGCCCCATTCCCAGTGTCCCATTCCCAGTGTCCCATTCCCAGTGTCCCATTCCCATTCCCATTCCCAGTGTCCCATTCCCAGTGTCCCATTCCCAGTGTCCCAGTGTCCCAGTGTCCCAGTGTTCCCAGTGTCCGTTCCCAGTGTCCCATTCCCAGTGTTCCCAGTGTTCCCAGTGTCCCATTCCCAGTGTCCCATTCCGTGTCCCATTCCCAGTGTCCCAGTATCCCCTGTCCCATTCCCAGTGTTCCCAGTGTCCCAGTTATCCCAGTTGTCCCAGTGTTCCTGTGCATCCCACTGTCCCCGTTCTTGCAGCGACGCGGTCAGGTCCCAGCATCCCATTCCCTGTCCCATTCCAGTGTCCCAGTGTCCCATTCCCATCAATGTTCCCAGTTGTCCCAGTTGTCCCAGTGTCCCAGTGTCCCATTCCCAGTGTTCCCAGTGTTCCCAGTATCCTTTCCCCCCGTTCCTTGCAGCGACGCGGTCGTGTCCCAGTGTCCCCATTCCCAGTGTCCCATTCCCAGTGTCCGGCCCCCATTCCCAGTGTCCCAGCTGTTCCAGTGTTCCTAGTATCCCCTGTCCCATTCCCAGTGTCCCAGTGTCCCATTCCCAGTGTCCCAGTGTCCCAGTGTCCCACTGTCCCCGTGCCATTCCCAGTGTCCCATTCCCAGTGTCCCATTCCCAGTGTCCCAGTTGTCCCAGTGTTCCCAGTATCCCTTTCCCCCCGTGCCTTGCAGCGACGCGGTCGTGTCCCAGTGTCCCATTCCCAGTGTTCCCAGTGTTCCCAGTGTTCCCAGTGTTCCCAGTATCCCTTTCCCCCGTTCCTTGCAGCGACGCGCGGTCGTGTCCCAGTGTCCCATCTCTACCGTTCCCAGTGTTCCCAGTGTTCCCAGTGTTCCCAGTATCCCTTTCCCCCCGTTCCTTGCAGCGACGCGGTCGTGTCCCAGTGTCCCATTCCCAGTGTCCCATTCCCAGTGTCCCATTCCCAGTGTCCCATTCCCATTCCCATTCCCAGTGTCCCATTCCCAGTGTCCCATTCCCAGTGTCCCAGTGTCCCAGTGTTCCCAGTGTTCCCAGTTGTCCCAGTGTCCCATTCCCAGTGTTCCCAGTGTTCCCAGTATCCCTTTCCCAGTGTCCCCCTGTCCCATTCCCAGTTGTCCCAGTGTCCCCCTGTCCCATTCCCCATTCCCAGTGTCCCAGTGTTCTAGTGTTCTGCATCCCTTTCCCCCCGTTCCTTGCAGCGACGCGGTCGTGTCTCAGGTGCTGGATGAGCTGGGACTGAACCTCACGGACGAACTGGCCAGTGAGTGGGGGGATTTTGGGGGGATTTTGGGGGGGATTTTGGGTGGATTTGAAGGGATTTTGGGGCCATTCCGTGGGGGATTTGAGGCCTGGGGGAGGAATTTTGGGGGATTTGAAGGATTTTGGGGCCATTCCGTGGGTTTTTACTCAGGCCTGGGGTGTTTGGAGGGGGGCCCCAGGGGGGCGTTTTTTAAGGGATTGGGGGGGGGGGGGAGATTTGGGGGCATTTTTTGGGTATTTGGGGGCATTTTAGGGCTTTATTGGGCTATTTTGGGGCCATTTCAGGGCTATTTTGGGGTCATTTCAGGGCTATTTTGGGGCCATTTCAGGGCTATTTTGGGGCCATTTCAGGGCTATTTTGGGGTTGGTTTAGGGCTATTTTGGGGCCATTTCAGGGCTATTTTGGGGCCATTTCAGGGCTATTTTGGGGCCATTTCAGGCTATTTTGGGGCCATTTCAGGGCTATTTTGGGGCCATTTCAGGGCTATTTTGGGGCCATTTCAGGCTATTTTGGGGTTGGTTTAGGGCTATTTTGGGGCCATTTCAGGGCTATTTTGGGGCCATTTCAGGGCTATTTTGGGGCCATTTCAGGGCTATTTTGGGGTCATTTCAGGGCTATTTTGGGGCCATTTCAGGGCTATTTTGGGGTCATTTCAGGGCTATTTTGGGGCCATTTCAGGGTTATTTTGGGGCCATTTCAGGGCTATTTTGGGGCCATTTCAGGGCTATTTTGGGGCCATTTCAGGGCTATTTTGGGGTTGGTTTAGGGCTATTTTGGGGCCATTTCAGGGCTATTTTGGGGTCATTTCAGGGCTATTTTGGGACCATTTCAGGGCTATTTTGGGGTTGGTTTAGGGCTATTTTGGGGCCATTTCAGGGCTATTTTGGGGTCATTTCAGGGCTATTTTGGGGCCATTTCAAGGCTATTTTGGGGTCATTTCAGGGCTATTTTGGGGTCATTTCAGGGCTATTTTGGGGCCATTTCAGGGCTATTTTGGGGCCATTTCAGGGCTATTTTGGGGTCATTTCAGGGCTATTTTGGGGCTGGTTTAGGGCTATTTTGGGGTCGGTTTAGGGCTATTTTGGGGCCATTTCAGGGCTATTTTGGGGCCATTTCAGGGCTATTTCGGGGCCATTTCAGGGCTATTTTGGGGTCGGTTTAGGGCTATTTTGGGGTCGCTTTAGGGCTATTTCGGGGCCATTTCAGGGCTGTTTGGGGCCATTTCAGGGCTGTTTTGGGGCCATTTCAGGGCTGTTTTGGGGTAATTTCAGGGCTGTTTTGGGGTCATTTCAGGGCTATTTTGGGGCCATTTCAGGGCTATTTTGGGGCCATTTCAGGGCTATTTTGGGGCCATTTCAGGGCTATTTTGGGGCCATTTCAGGGCTATTTTGGGGCCATTTCAGGGCTGTTTGGGGCCTTTTGGGAGATGTTTCCCCCCCTCCCCCATTTTGGGGGAATTTGGGGGGAATTTGGGGGGAATTTTGGGGGTCCTAGTGTCAACTCCTGACCCTCTCTCTGTGTGTGCCCCCAGCTCTGCCCGGGGTCCCTGGCGGCGGGGAGGGGCGGGGAGGGGCCGAGGCCGCGGCCGCTTTGGCCGATGCTGACGCCGACCTGGAGGAGAGGCTGAAGAACCTGCGGCGGGACTGAGACCCCCGACCCCCAGGACCCCCGACCCCGGGAGGAGCTGGGACCCCCCGGGCTTTGACTCCCACCCGGGAGATTCACCCCTTTTTTGGACTTTTCTGGCATTTTTGGGGTATTTTGACCCCTGGGGTGTTTGACCCCTCGGGGCTATTTGACCCTGGGGGTGTTTGACCTCCTCAGGGCTATTTGACTCCCGGGGGTGTTTGACCCTCCTCACACTTTTTCTGGGTTTTTACTCTTTTTGGGGGTATTTTTAGGGTATTTGACCCTCTCCCCCGAAGGAACTTCCCCATCTCCTTTTATTGCTCCTTCACTTCTTATTTTGGGGTACCTCCTCCTTTTTGGGGGTTCTCCATCCTTCTCCCGGGAGGGGGTGGGGTTTTTTCCCTTTATTTGGATTATTGACACTATTTTGGGGTCTTTCCTTTCCTTTTAGGGTCTTTTCCTCCCTGGGGTAATAAAAGGCCTGTTGGACCCGAGGCTGCTGCAGCCTCTTCCTGGCCTTCCCCAGTTTGGGACTGGGAGCACTGGGAGAGGGGAGGAGGGGGGTGCTGGGAGGGGGTCAGGTTGGGGTCTTTAAGGGGGGTGGGGTCCCACTATATCCCAGTCCCCTCCAGTGCCCCCCAGTCCCCTCCAGTGCCCCTCAACTCCTCCCCAGTCCATCCCAGTCCCTCCAGTGCCTCTCAACCCCCTCCCAGTCCATCCCAGTGCCCCTCAATCCCCTCCCAGTCCATCCCAGTGCCCCTCAATCCCCTCCCAGTCCCCTCCAGTGCTCCTCAATCCCCTCCCAGTCCATCCCAGTGCCCCTCAATCCCCTCCCAGTCCATCCCAGTCCCCCTCAATCCCTTCCCAGTCCCCTCCAGTGCCCCTCAATCCCCTCCCAGTCCATCCCAGTCCCCCTCAATCCCCTCCCAGTCCATCCCAGTGCCCCTCAACCCCCTCCCAGTCCATCCCAGTGCCCCTCAATCCCCTCCCAGTCCATCCCTCCCAGACCAGGGATTGGAATCCCGGGACCACCAGAGACTGGGGTCAGCAGTCACATCCCACGGTCCCCTCCCCACGCCGGGGTCCCTCCTTCCTCCCGAATCCTCACCCCTGGGGTCCCTCCCTTCCCCCTCACCCCGGGGTCCTGCGCCCCCGAAGCTGTTCCGGCCCTCTGCCCGCCCCCCGAGGGGCCTCAGGAGGGGGGCCCGGGGGGTCCCAGGGGGTCCCTTCGCCCCCCAAAAACCTCCCCCCAAAAAAACACCCCCAAAAAAAAACCCCCCGTACGTGGGGAGGAGCAGGGAGCGGGCGATGATTGGGCAAGAGCGCTGTCAATCACAGGGAGGTTCCGCCCACTTGCTCTGCCTGATTGACAGTGCGAGGAGCCAATGGGAGCGCGAGGGGGCGTGGCCAAGGCGGGAGGTTAAGGGGGTGATTGACGGCGCAGCGAACCAATGGGAGCTCGGCAAGGCGCGAAAAGGGCGGGGTTCGGGGGGAGGACACGCCCCCTTCCCGAGTTTTTCCACGGGAAAAGCGGTCCCGGACAGGATTTTTCCAGGGAAAAACCAGCGGGAAACGAGGGAGTTTAGCCAGGTTAATGTGCTCTGGGAAAGGAGGAACTGCCCGGGATTTGGGAAAAGGGGGAAACTCGAGCAGTTTTGGAAATTCAAAAAAAAAAAAAAAGGAGAGGAAGGTTATTTGGAAAAGGAGGAATCGGAGGAAATTTGGAAAAGGGGAAAATTGAAGGAGTTTTGGGAAAAAGAGGGGTAGAAGGGAGCTTCGGAAAAGCAGGAAATGGAGAGGATTCCGAGAAGGAGGAAGTGAAGTTTTGGGGATGGGGAAGGGAGTGAAGTTTTGGGGATGGGGAAGGAAGTGAAGTTTTGGGGATGGGGAAGGAAGTGAAGTTTTGGGGATGGGGAAGGGGGTGAAGCTCTGGGGATGGGGAAGGGAGTGAAGCTTTGGGGATGGGGAAGGGACTGAAGCTCTGGGGATGGGGAAGGAACTGAAGCTCTGGGGATGGGGAAGGGAGTGAAGTTTTGGGGATGGGGAAGGAAGTGAAGCTCTGGGGATGGGGGAGGAAGTGAAGCTTTGGGGATGGGGAAGGAACTGAAGCTTTGGGGATGGGGAAGGAACTGAAGTTTTGGGGATGGGGGAGGAAGTGAAGTTTTGGGGATGGGGAAGGGAGTGAAGTTTTGGGGATGGGGAAGGGAGTGAAGTTTTGGGGATGGGGAAGGGAGTGAAGCTCTGGGGATGGGGAAGGAAGTGAAGCTCTGGGGATGGGGAAGGAAGTGAAGTTTTGGGGATGGGGAAGGGAGTGAAGCTCTGGGGATGGGGAAGGGGGTGAAGCTCTGGGGATGGGGAAGGAAGTGAAGTTTTGGGGATGGGGAAGGAACTGAAGCTCTGGGGATGGGGAAGGAAGTGAAGTTTTGGGGATGGGGAAGGGAGTGAAGCTTTGGGGGTGGGGAAGGGAGTGAAGCTCTGGGGATGGGGAAGGGGGTGAAGTTTTGGGGATGGGGAAGGGAGTGAAGCTCTGGGGATGGGGAAGGGAGTGAAGCTCTGGGGATGGGGAAGGAAGTGAAGCTCTGGGGATGGGGAAGGAACTGAAGCTCTGGGGATGGGGAAGGGAGTGAAGCTCTGGGGATGGGGAAGGGAGTGAAGTTCTGGGGATGGGGGAGGAAGTGAAGCTCTGGGGATGGGGAAGGAGTGAAGTTTTGGGGATGGGGAAGGAACTGAAGCTCTGGGGATGGGGAAGGAAGTGAAGTTTTGGGGATGGGGAAGGGAGTGAAGCTCTGGGGATGGGGAAGGAAGTGAAGTTTTGGGGATGGGGAAGGGGGTGAAGTTTTGGGGATGGGGAAGGAACTGAAGCTCTGGGGATGGGGAAGGAACTGAAGCTCTGGGGATGGGGAAGGGAGTGAAGTTTTGGGGATAGGGAAGGGAGTGAAGCTCTGGGGATGGGGAAGGGGGTGAAGCTCTGGGGATGGGGAAGGAAGTGAAGCTCTGGGGATGGGGGAGGAAGTGAAGCTTTGGGGATGGGGAAGGAAGTGAAGCTCTGGGGATGGGGAAGGAACTGAAGCTCTGGGGATGGGGAAGGAACTGAAGCTCTGGGGATGGGGAAGGAACTGAAGCTCTGGGAATGGGGAGGGTCCCCCTCGGGGCCACCCAAAGGCAACAAAGGAGGCGGGAATGGCGCTAGGACAGACCCTTTATTGGAGTCGTGCTGGGGGGGTGGCCCAGCAGGCAAAGCCCCTGTGGAGCGGGCTCGGGGGTTCACGAGGGTCTGGGGGGGTCCCGGGCGGGGCTCGGGGGTTACGAGGGTCTGGGGGGGTCCCGGGCGGGGCTCTGGGGGTCCCGGGCGGGGCCTGGGGTTACGAGGGTCTGGGGGTCCCAGGCGGGGCTCAGGTGGGGGTCCCAGGCGGGGCTCGGGGTTACGAGGTCTGGGGGGTCCCGGGCGGGGCTCGGGGGGTCCCGGGCGGGGCCTGGGGTTACGAGGGTCTGGGGGGTCCCGGGCGGGGCTCGGGGGTCCCGGCGGGGCTCGCGGGGGGTCCCAGGCGGGGCTCGGGGGTCCCGGGCGGGGCCTCGAGGGGGTCCCAGGCGGGGCCTGGGGGTCCCAGGCGGGGCTCTGGGGGTCCCGGGCGGGGCTCAGGGGTTACGAGGGTCTGGGGGTCCGGTCCCCGGGTAGGGCGGGGCTCGGGGGTTCAGCTGCGCTCCTCCTCCAGGCTCAGGCGGTCGAACAGGTACTCCCCGAGGCCGGCCGGGGCCGGGGCGGGGCCGGTGGAGCCGCCGGTGCCGCCGAGGCGCCGCAGGTTGGTGGCGTGGTCCCCCAGCGCCTTGATGGCTTTCACTTGCTCGTCCAGGTAGTGAGACTCGAGGAAGTCGCAGAGCTGCGGGGAAAAAGGGGAGATCAGGCAGGGCTGGAGTCGGGGGGCTCAGCCCACAGGGGGGGCTGGAGGAGGCAGAGACTCCCAAGGGAGGGCAGCTGGAGGTCCCAAAAATGTCCAGGGGAGCACAGGGGTGGACCCCCGAGGCAGAGATGTGCAGGGAAAGAGAGGGAAACGTCGTTTGGGGGGCGCAGATGTGCAGGAAAAGAGAGGGAAACGTCGTTTGGGGGGCACAGATGTGCAGGGAAAGAGAGGGAAACGTCGTTTGGGGGGCGCAGATGTGCAGGGAAAGAGAGAGAAACGTCGTCTTGGGGGGCGCAGATGCTTCGGGGGGGGGTCGAGGAGGACTCACGTGGGGGTCTCCCTTCTCGGAGGCCAGAGCGTGCAGGTCCAGCAGCGCCTGGTTCACCGACTTCTCGAGCTGCAGCGCCGCCTCCACCGCCTCCAGCGCCGACCCCCAAGTGTCCCGCTCCGGCTTCTGGGGGGGAAGGAAGGGAGGGCAAGGGAGCGTCACCGCAGGGACCCCCACGACCCCAGCCCCACCCGCAGCCCCCGGCCCAAACCTTGATGTCCTGCAGCAAGACGCGGCCGCCGCGGCGCGTCTGGAAGCGCAGGAGCCCCTGGGCGTGCTCCCGCTCCTCCCGAGCCTGCTCCAGGAAGAAGCGGCCGAGCCGCGGCAGCGCCACATCGTCCCGCTCGAAGTAAAAGCCCTAAGGAGGGGAGGGGAGGGGAGGGGAGGGCGGATCAGAAAGAGCCCACCGGGACTCCCCCAAAAAACCCTTCCATCATCATCACCACCACCAGCAGCCCGTTATCTCGCCCTGGCAGGCGGCGCCGCCCCATCGCCGTCGGGTTTTTGGGGGTGCAGGAGGGCGCTCGGGGGAGGTGGTGGTGGTGGTGGGGGGAAGGGGGTGTCCCTCAGCCCCCCACAAAGCCCCCCTACCATGGAGAGGTAGGCGTAGGACGCGTGGAGCTCCATGTTGGCCATGCGGTTGACGGCGGCCTCGCAGTCTCGGTGGTAATTCTGGCGGACCTGGGACTCCATGATGGACGGGATGGACGGGATGGACGGACAGACAGACAGACAGATGGAATGGACGGGGAGGGAGAGGGAGCCGAAGGGGCAGCCGGTTCCGTTCAAGCACTGTTGAAGCGAGAACGCGGCTCTGGCCGCACAAAGCCCCGCAGAGGGGGTTTTATCCCTTCTTCACCGGTGGGCGGGAAAGGGGGTGGGTTGGGGTGGGGGACCACCCTCCTGCCCAGGGACCCCCTCCACTCCCGCTCCCGCCCGGAAGGCGCGGTGGCCTGGCCCTTGTCCCTGTTTGTCACAACGGGCCCAGTCAGCGTGACTGGGCAGGATTGGAGGGTCGGAGCTCACCAGGGTTCTCACCCTGGGCAGGGGTCTCCCAGGGGGGGTGGGCAGGGTCTCCCGGGGGTGGGGGTGTGGTTCGAGGGAGCCCCTGCTCCCTGCTGGGCTGGGGGCACCAGGAGCCTGCCGGGGGTTGAGGGGAGGGGAGGAGCTGGAAAGGGGCGATCAGGGGGAATTTTGGGGGTGGGCTCGGTCCTGCCCCGCTTGGCGAGGCAGCGATCGCCCGCCCGGTGGAGTTCGATGACCGGGGCCGGGGGTCACGATGGGGGCGGGGAAGGAGCTGACTCAGCCCCTGAGGCCATAAAAGGGAACTTGGCCCCTGGAAGTGCTGACTCGGCTTTTCCTCAGGGCTGGGAGAAGCGCGGGGGTGGGGGTGCCGGGGGAAAATGGGGGGATGAGGGGTTTAGGGCAGCCCCCGACCCTACAGTTCTTCCTTTGGGTTTTTACTCCTTGGGCTCCCTCCTGCACTCAGCCAGCCTCCCCCCAAAAAGACGTGACCCCATCGAGGTGGGTGTTGACCCTCACCCAGGGGGCACAAGAAGCGCCGCGTTTGCTTTTTTTTTTTTTTTTTTTAATTCCCGTTGAAATTCCTGAGATACAAAACAAGGTACAAAAAAAGAGAAGGAAAACAAAAAAAAACCAACAAAAAACCATCGAGAAAAGGCTGGGGTGGGGTGGGGGAGGGGGTGAGGCAGGGTCCCCGCGCCCCTGTTTGGGAGGGGGCGTCCCCGATGACGTCACCGCGTCACGACATCCCCAAAGAGCACCGTGGGGGTGGGGGAGGGGTCCGGGGCAGGTCCTCAGGGATTGCCGAGTGGGGACCCCTGAGGGGCTGGGGGAGGAGGGGGTGTAAACAGGGGGCACGGCCCCCCACCCTGAGAGCCTCCGCCCTGGGAGGGGGTATTGCACCTGGGGGCCCTTCTGGGGACAGGGAGCCCCCAATAAATACTCCACCTGCAGCTGGGGCTGCAACCTCCCCACCCCCTCACCCCACATTTTGGGGGGTCACAGACACCCCACCCCCACATCTGGGGGTGGAACTGCAGGACCCCCAAAAAAAAAGCACCGCAAGTCCTGGGGTTGAACCGCTCTGAGGCCGGGGGGGGAGGGGGAAAAGCGGGGCTTGTGGCCCCCTACCCCTCAGGAGGGGCCCAGCACTGGGGCTGGGAAATGTGGGAGGGAGTGGAGTGACCCCCACCCCGCTAACCCCCTCCCCAAATCTGGTATGGGCCCAGCCATGGCAGAAGGGTTTGGTGGGGAAGGGGGTGCCACAGCTTTTTTTGGGGGGAGGGAAGGAGGGAGGGAGAGGAGGGGAGGGTCCCCACAGCTCAACCACCCCTCCCAAAGTCCAGGCCAGCAAGTCCTGGGTGTTAAAAGCCCCCTGCCCCTGGAAGGCACGGGGGAGAGGGGGTCAGCACCATCCCTGCCGGCAGGGCCGGGCCAGGCCAGGCCAGGGAGGGGGTGAGGATTGTTGTGGGGAGGGGTCACAGCCCCCTTCCCCACCCTCCCAAGAGCCTAGGACATCTTCCAGATGGTGAGCGAGGCGGTGAGGACGCCGGCGGCGAAGATGGTGATGGTCTGCCAGGTCGGGGTGCCGAAGTGCGAGAGCAGCCCTTCCTGGGGGGGGCACAGAGGGGGGAGATATCACCTCAGGGACCCCCCAAAGCTTCCCCTGGGGAGCGAGGGGGGGTCCAGGACTCACCCAACCGCCCTGGGCCTGGATCCAGGCCAGCACGTGCTCCCGCAGGTACTCCAAGGTCCAGCCCAGGATGGTCTGCACCAGCTCGGGGACCTTGGTGCAGAGCGCCTGGGGGGGGACAGGGAGGGGTCAGGGGGGGCCAAAGCAGGGCTGGGGAGGGGGCTACAGAGGGGTCAGGGACGCAGCCACCTTCAGAACCAGCTTGCAGGCGAAGTAGAAGAGGGCGACGACGCGGCCCCAGTTGAAGGCGCCGTCGGCAAACATCTCCTTGGCCACGCGGAAGAAGAGCTGCTTGGGGGCGTCGCAGCCCACCTGCTCGATCATCCTGGGGAGGCGGGGCCCGTCAGTGCCGCGGGGAGGGGTCGGGATGGACGGCGGGACCCCCCCCCCCGTTACCTCTGCAGCTCCATGTTGCTGTCGAGCTCGTCGCCGATGCGCCGCAGGCACTCGCTGAGGCGTTTGGTGTCGGGGCTGCTGGGCTGGGGCTCGCCCAGCTCGGCCACGCTCAGCGCCACGGCCTGCGGGTCCCCGCAGCGCTCCACGCGGTCCCGCACGAACCTGGGGGCGGCGCAGAGGGACCCCTGCCACTCTGGGGGACCGCCCGGCAACGCGTGTCCCCACCCCACCCCTGCACACCCCCAAATCCCCGCTGTGATCCCCGAGGTCCTGCGTCCTCCCAAGTCCTCCCTCCGTGTCCCACCACCTGTGCCCCAAATCCCCCAAGTGCCCCCTGCACCCCAAGTGCCCCCACGACCCCCGTGTCCCTCCCGACCCTTTCTCTTCTCAGGACCCCCAAGTCCCTTCCGTCTGCCCAGTCCCCCAGCTTCGAGGCTGCCTCCGCACCCCCAAGTGCCCCCTGCACTCCCCGGGTCCTCCCCTCGCCCCCTCCCCTCGCCCCCTCCCCTCGCCCCCAGCTCCCCAGCCCTCCTCCCGGCGGGCCCCCAGCTCCCCCACTCACGCCCGCAGCAGGATCGCCCCCGTCTGCATGATCTGGTCCGAGGAGGCCCCCTGCGAAGAGCGGGGCGCTGACCCGGGGGAACGCGGGGGCACCGGCCCTGGCCGCCGCTCCCCCCAAGGCCCGCACAGGCCGCGCCCCCCGCGGGGGTCCCGGCGCCACACTCACCGCCGCCCCCCGGGGCCGGGGCGGGCTCGCGGCCGCCGGAGCCGCCCCCAGCCCCGGCTCCAGCCCCGGTCCCGGCCCCGGGATCGCCGCTGCCGCTGCCGCCGCCGCCGCCGCCGCCCCGCTGGGCCGAAGCCGCCGCCGCCGCCATCGCGCCCGGACCACGTGGTGTGCCCGCCGGCGTCACGTGACACCGGCCGAGCGGAGCGGGAGCCGCGCCCGAGTCACGTGACGAAGGACAACGTGCTACGGGGCCCGGTGAGGCCACGCCCCCCCCCACCTTGCCACGCCCATCGGGGCTCGGCCACGCCCACGCGGCGTCTTCACCGGGACCCCCGCGGTCACCGGGGGGGGGGCGGCGAACACAGAGATACCCCCGGGGGTCGCACACGGAGATACCCCCGGGGGTCACACACGGATACCCCCGGGGGTCCCTGGGGGTCACACACGGAGATACCCCCGGGGGTCGCACACGGAGATACCCCCGGGGGTCCCTGGGGTCAGACACACAGACACTTCAGGGGTCCTTGGGGGTCGGACACGGAGATACCCCCGGGGGTCCTTGGGGGTCGACACACAGACCTTTAGGGGGTCCCTGGGGGTCGCACACGGAGATACCCCCGGGGGTCCCTGGGGGTCGCACACGGATACCCACGGGGGTCCCTGGGGATCGCACACGGAGAAACTCACGGGGGTCCCTGGGGTCACACACGGAGACACCCTAGGGTCCCTGGGGGTCAGCACACACAGACACTTCGGGGGTCCCTGGGGGTCGACACACAGAGACACTTTGGGGGTCGCTGGGGGGTCACGCAGACACCTCAGGGTCCCTGGGGTCGCATCACGGACACTCCCCAGGGGTCGCTGGGGATCACACACCGACATTTCGGGGTCGATGTGAGGGGTCGCAGACACCCTAGGGTCGAGTGTGGGGTCACAGACCCTCCCCAGGCGTCGATGAGGGGGTCTCACACCGATACCGGGGTGGGGAAGGGGGTCGATGGGGGGTGTCGGTCACAGACCCTCCCCAGGCGTCGATGAGGGGGTCCCACACCGATACCGGGGGTCCATCACACGCTCTCGACGGGGGTCCGGGGGCCGCACCACTCGCGACGCCCCCGCGGCGCTTCCACCGCCCCCGGCGCTTCCTGCGGGGCCCGAGGCACCCGAAGGGGACGGGCGGGGCCGCCCGCGGGGCTGTGCGGGGCTCAGGCCCGGGGTGGGCACCGGCTCCGGGCGTGCGGCCGCGACCACCCTCGAGCAGACATGAGCCCCAGAGGCTGCCTGGGCTGCGCCAAGCGCTTTCTCTTCCTCCTCAACCTCTTCTTCTTCGTGAGTGCGGTCGCGGCGGGGAGCTGGGGGGGCTACGCGGGGCTGGGGAGGGACTCGGGGGCGGGAGAGTGAGGGGCAGGGGGTAGATGGGAGGGTGCGGGGCTGAAGGGATGGGGAGATGGGGACAAGGGCAGATGGGGCACCTGGGGACATAGGGGGATAGGGAGACCTGGGAGGGGCCCAGCTACGCCTTGGGGGGGGGGGGCCAACAGTTTCACAGGCACCGGAGGGTCCCCAATTTGCTGACCCGGCTTGGGTGCCCCCCCTCGACCCCCCCCAGGCCCTGGGCACCCTCCTCCTCGCCTTCGGCCTCTGGGTCCTCTTCGACCGGCAGAGCTTCGCCGCCGTGCTGGGTAAGGGACCCTGGGACCCTGGGGCACCCTGAGCTGGGGGAGTGGAAAAAGGGGGACCCTGACCCCCCGTGTGCCCCCCAGGGTCACCGCTGGTCAATCTGAGGGTCTGGTTGGTCCTACGACCCCCCGTGTGCCCCCCAGGGTCACCGCTGGTCAGCCTGAGGGTCTGGTCCTACGGCTTCTGCGGGGTCGGCATCGTCACGATGCTGCTGGGGTTCCTGGGCTGCCTGGGGGCCCTCAAGGAGGTCAAGGTGCTGCTCATGCTGGTAAGCTGGGGGCTGGGGGGTCGGGGGGTGGTCCAAGGGGGAGGGGGCTGCAGAACTGGGAGCTGTGCTGCAATTTCCTGGCGCGACCGCGGGCCACGTGCTGCCACCACATCCTGTGCTGGTGGTGGGGGACCCCTCTGCGCCCCCCAAGAAGGGGGCTGGGGGGTCCTGGCTGAACCATCCCTCCATTTGTCCCTGAAGTACTTCGGGGTCCTGCTGCTGCTCTTCGTTGCCCAGATCACGGTGGGCGTCATCGTCTACACGCAGCGCTGCTGTGAGTACTGGGGGACCCTGGGGCTTTTTGGGGGTGGGGTGGGGGACAGGACCAGGGGGCAGGGCTGCTCTCACCCTGCACTCCCCCCGCCCAGCTGGCCACCAAGGTGGCCACCTACGCGCAGAGGCTGATCCAGGAGTACCCAGCTCAGGGACCGCCTGGGGACCCCCACGAGGGCTGGGATGCTGTCCAGCAGCAGGTGAGACCCCCACAGAGCCCCCACCCACCCCAGGCACAGCCACAGCCACCCCACTGACCCCCTGCCTCCCCCAGCTCGGCTGCTGCGGCTGGAATGGGCGCCAGGATTGGGAGCACCGGGATGGACCCTCTGGGGACACGGACGAGGCTGAGACTGTCGCCTGCTCCTGCCTCAGGGCCCCCAACAGCACCCACAGCACCCCAGGGACGCTGCCCCACGGCCGCTGCCTCGCAGCTGCCCCCGGTGACATCTTCCCCAAGGTGAGGCACCGGGGTGGGGGTCACAGAGCTCCTGGAGATTTGGGCAGGGGGGCTCTCCAGGTGACCCCTGATTGTCACACACCTCCCCGTCCTCCTCCTCCTCCCACAGGGCTGCGCCGCGGGCGTCCGGGACTGGCTGGCTGCAAACCTGGTCACCGTCACGGGGGTGTGCCTGGGCATTGGCCTGGGGGAGGTGAGGGGGCTGAGCTGGCATGGGTGGACTGGGGGTGACCCGGGGGGTTCAGGGGGGTTTCAGGTTGGCCGTGGTGGGGTCAGAGGGCTGGAAGGGGGATGTTCAGGGTGGTTGGGGTGGGGTCTCAGAGGATCCGGGCAGGTCAGGTTGCTGACTCAGCTCTCTGCTCCTAGCTCGCCCTGCTGATGCTGTCGATGTTCCTGGTCAGGAACCTGGACCCCCACTATGAGAAGCTGCTGCGGGGGCTCTGAGAGGCTGGGGAATGGTGGAAGGGCGGCGTGGGGGGTAGGGGGGGAGGTGTTTGCCAGTGGTCTGTCTTTCAATAAAGCCGGCGGGAAGCAACAAGACGGAGTCGGGGACTGGGACAGGGACCGGGACAGAGACCAGGACAGGGATCGGGACAAGGACCGGGACAGGGATCGGGACAAGGACCGGGACAGGGACCCGGGACAGAGACCGGGACAGGGATCGGGACAAGGACCGGGACAGGGACCGGGACAAGGACCGGGACAGGAATCGGGACAGGGATCGGGACAAGGACCGGGACAGGGATCGGGACAGGGATCGGGACAAGGACCGGGACAGGGACCGGGACAGGGACCGGGACAAGGATCGGGACAGGGACCGGGACAGGGACCGGGACCCCCGACCCGCGAAGATCGACACGTGGGGACCCCCCCCTTCCAAAATCCGACCCCGCCTGGCCACGCCCCTGGCCACGCCCCTGCCCCCGCCCCTGCCTTCGGGCCAGCCGAGGTGGCCCCGCCCCTTTCCCCTCTGGGCGGGAACGGCTCGCGCCAGGCCCCGCCCCCTCCCCGCCCTGAGGCGATTTCCAACCCCCCCTTCACGACGGGACCCCGACCCCGCCTCAGGCCCGCGACCCCCCGGGACCCCCAAAACAAACGACCCCGGGGCAGGGGGAGCCCCGAGCCACCCCCAGGATGGCCGCAGAGGGCCCCTGCTCCCCGGCAGCCACCGGGCCCCCGCTGGGTGGGGACCGTGAGGGCCCGCGGGAGGTGGGAGGGAGGGAGGGAGGGAGAGCCGGGACCCCCCCCCTCACGACCCGCCGTGTCTCCCCCAGCCCCGGCCGAGAGCGGCTGCTCGGACGAGTTTGCCCTCGACTGCACCTTCGCCGCCTGTGACCCCGAGCGCACAGGTGGACGGGACAAACCCCCCCCTGGGCCCAATACCCCCTTTTCCCCCTGCCCGGGGCCGGGGAGGCCTCGGCCCTGACCGGTGCCCACCGCAGGGACGGTGCTGCCGCAGCGGGTGGTTGAGTACGTGGCAGCGGTGACCGGGCACAGCGGGCACGACGGGCGGCTGAGGGCCCTGCGGCGGGCGCTGGACCCCGAGGCCTCGGGGGCCGCCCTGGACCTGCCCCGGTTCCGAGCGGCCATGGGCGGCTGGATCGCAGCGTGCCGGCAGGACGGGTCAGTAACAGGGTCAGGGTAAGGACAGCGGTCAGTCCCGAGGCCAGCAGGGCAGGTCGGTGCCGGGGGCAGGGTCAGTGTAAGGACAGCGGTCAGTCCCGAGGCCAGCAGGGCAGGTCGGTGCCAGGGGCAGGGTCAGTGTAGGACAGCGGTCAGTCCCGAGGCCAGCAGGGCAGGTCGGTGCCGGGGTCAGTAACAGGGGCAGGGTCAGTGTAAGGACAGCGGTCAGTCCCGAGGCCAGCAGGGCAGGTCGGTGCCGGGGGCAGGGTCAGTGTAAGGACAGCGGTCAGTCCTGAGGCCAGCAGGGCAGGTCGGTGCCGGGTCAGTAACAGGGCAGGGTCAGTGTAGGACAGCGGTCAGTCCTGAGGCCAGCAGGGCAGGTCGGTGCCGGGGTCAGTGTCAGGTGACAGCGGTCAGTCCCGAGGCCAGCAGGGCAGGTCGGTGCCGGGGGCAGGGTCAGTGTAAGGACAGCGGTCAGTCCCGAGGCCAGCAGGGCAGGTCGGTGCCGGGGGCAGTAACAGGGGCAGGGTCAGTGTAAGGACAGCGGTCAGTCCCGAGGCCAGCAGGGCAGGTCAGTGCCGGGGGCAGGGTCAGTGTAAGGACA